TGGGTCCAATTAACAAAACGTTAAACCAAATCGTGACAGGTTTAAAGCCTCACAGGGCAGCCTAAAGCCCACTGCTCTCATTAAGCCATAGAAAAGGAAAAAAGTAAATCAAATGGTTAGTTCAGGTGTTTTATAAAACATGTGAATCAGGAAATTGTCTATATACCAAACTGAAAGATTGTTGTTCTCTACCGGTACTTTAAATTTTAAAATGGAAAAATGTTCTATCTTTTTTTCTTATATTTTCTAACAATTAAAGGTATAACATGGATGCAAAAAAACATAATTTTATTTCAGTGTTACATTCTGTTTAAAGTAACAAATTATAATTAAAAATGTCTCCTGACCTTCACTGGTTGATGGTTTTCTTTATCCCGCTTATTTTAATTGGTTACCCCTGCTCTATGCATTTTAAGCATAGGCCAAACTGGATTGAGCAATCTGAAAATCTGTCTGTAACAGATTTTAAAATGAAAATATGTAGAAGTTATTTTCTCATCAGTTCTTGGAATGGTTGTTGCTTGCCCCTCTTTGAACGCAGCCCCTCTGTCAAATCTGGCAGATCCACACAGGTATTTGTGAGTGTTTACATATTGGAATGAAGGTGGGATCTGTTGTCATGTGCTGTAGGACATTTGACACTGGGCGATGGTAATGATTCAGTGTTTTACAGGATTACTGTTTGGAGAGATAAAAGCTGCACGCTTTAGGGGGAGAAATAGTGTCCTAATACGTACATTTAAAAACTTCTCAGGCTTATTCCTTAAAATGAAGCATGCACAAACTCACTCAGCAAGAGCAGAGGAATCAGTCTGCCTCCTTGACATCAAAGCAAAGTTGATAATGTTGGCATCCATGACATCCAGAGATACTGGTGCATACATGGATCTGTGCATACAAACAATATTGTTATACTCCAGGCTCTGGGGTGAAGTAGGCGTTTTTCCTCATTTCTAACAACAGATTGATCTGCATAATGAATATATCGACCATAGTTTCCTTGCTCAGGCTTTCATCTTAATTATTTCGTTCCTCATTTCAACACATACTGTAAACATATTTGCACTTTTTGGCATTAACAACACCGGGATGAGCATGTCCCTGCTAAAGTATTATTGTGTAGGGAAAGTGTGCATCAGTATACACTTTTAAGACATTACATTAATTATATTTGTCCTTTTCTTGCCAAAAGAACTTTGGCCAGTTAAAGTCACACTAGACCTCTGAAGGTGTGTTGGGGCCCTAGCCTGACGTAGTCCTACTCAATTCTAGTCAGAATATGAGTCTGATGCTGCTCCATAGAGTTGTGATTATGGGGCGTGTTTCGAACGAACCAGGAAAAAAAATGCCTCTGCACTCAATTAGATAGACCTACAACCAATAAGAGCAACGGAGTGCGTGACGTAGGTTAAGCGTAGTTGTTGTCAACAAAAGTCTCAGTGTGCAGTTTCACGCCTAGAATAAGAAGATGAGCCTTGATCGCGTTTCTCTGTTCCTCTTTTAAAATTAATTTGCTGTCGATATCTTCTAGAACAGACCTAATAGCAGAATCTAC